TCAGAATTTTCTTCTTTAGCATCCATCGTTACAAAATTTAAGCAAAAAAGATGAAAAGTCTTGGGAAAAATTTCTAAAATTATGCACTTATTTGACCTTTGACCTCCAAAAAAATGAATATAATGAGGTCAAACTTTAAGACAATTATCTGATGTATATTTTTTTCAGTATCATTACCCCACATTTGACTTTACAATGTAATGGAATGCATAAATGTGTGTGGGATGAGCAAAAAACAAGAAATACTGCCTGAAAATTGAAAAATACTCCATTGCTTAGCAACCTCTTTAAAGTCATTATTTGCAGAATTGAAAAAAAAGTTATGCGATTAATGTAGTAAAGGATAATGTCCTTTTGTTGGTTTATTCTAAATTTCCTATTTCAATGTGTATCACTGTTTATTTTTAACTTGAAGATTAAAATGTGTCAAAAAATGCAATAAAATTCTGCACTTATTTGACCTTTGACCTCAATTTCCACTAGCAAGGTAAGTCGTGAGGTACCTGCGTAGTTATGAAATATCATCTCCAGAAAATTCCCTACAAAATGGTATACATTATGCCTAGATTACTCTTTGAATATAAAAGTTATAAATTGATTTATAGAGATATGTCAAAAGGTCTGCAATAACGCTTAAAATGTTCCGGTAGAGAAAGAGTTAAAATTCTTAATACCCCCTTTACACAGCATCAGGGCCGGCCAGGAAAAAAACTAGAGATAAAACGATTAAAATCGATTTTAAAAAACTCTAGAAAACCTGTGTCCGTTGCCAGGTGCCGCTGGATGCAGGAGGAGTTGTGAACGGTCCTCGCAACTTTATTACCACATATGAATAAACTAACATTATAGAACAATAATTTAATATTGACATGTAATAATAATAAAAAAAAGATTCTAAAATTTCGTCTAACTCGTGCCGTACGGCGGCTAGAAGAGAATACCTGAATTACATTTCGAAAACCTGTTCTCTACGCTTGATAGCTATTGTCTACTAATGGAACCTTCCATTATAATGCACTGTGCCGTCAATACAATATTTTCCCGCTATTACTGGCAAACCGCGGGAAAAAATAATTTTTTGTTACATGTATATTGTAAATTTCAACAGAAAATCTTGTGCGTGGGTATTTTAATAACCTTTTTAAAATTACAGTCATAAATTACATTTATATGTAACAGTTATGTTTATTCAAAATAATATACCGGTATATTTCCATTTCTAATTTTTGTCTCTGTGATAACTCTTTGAAAGTTAGGGGGAGTTTATTTCTTGATATTTCTGCCGGAATGTAAATTAGGCAGGTCGATAGGTCAGGAGCTACGGAGGCCTAATAAGCATGCAAATCTCGTGAGCATCTCTCTCTGTGTCTGACGCTAAGGTGTAAATCTCGTGCAGCTGTTTTTGTGTTTGACATCAGTGGGCGAGGAATATTGAAATTGACATGGAAGTCCTCATATAATTTAAATCTATTAATCTACATTTTTAAAGTCTAAATCTACAATTTTATTTCACAATGAAATGGAAATATAAGGAATCACTGTCTAGTTAGTATAGTATGCCAGGGACATCAACGAAAGTGGGAAACATGGGATAATTTATGCATAACGGGCTTCGCCCGTTATGCAAATTATCCCATGTTTCCCACTGTCGTTGATGCTCTGGCATACTACACTAACTAGACAGTGATTCCTTAAATAAACATACATTGTAGACGGTAAAATATTCATGATTATCAATCTATAATTGCTTGCATGCTTATTTTGAGTGCAGAATACCAAGTCATAATTATATTATATTTTAAGATTAAAAGCATGGCCTAGACTCCCAATCATAGTAGGACACAATAAATAGGCCAAGATTTTTCCTCAAATTCAATTTTTCTGAAACTTTGATATTTTGTTCCAGGATACAAAATCTCTCTTTATATATGATATGAAAGAAATTCAACCACACATTTTTTGCCCACATAGTCTGAAATATGGCCTATCATTCAGTAAAAAAAAAAGTATTTCTAAAAAAAAAAAGTGGTCCATCCGGGACCTGAACTCAGGACCTCTCACATGCGAAGCGAGAAACATATCACTAGACCACGGAATCGCTTTACATGGCATTAAGTATATGCAGAAGTGAAGTCACATACATGTAGATATTCATGTTCGGTATTGTCAAAATTTTACACAATCCATGGTGTTTGATTTATTTAGCCTTTATTAAACAGTTCTAATAGATGTAATAAGAACAAAATGTCCGCCGAGAACCTGTTTTATACGCAATAACTCTCCTCATGCCCCTGTGCTAAAAATAGTGACATGTAATACTATAAATACTAATAAAACAAACGGGGCGGGGCACTTTGAGAGGGGTGAGAGAGGTCCTAGGGAGTTTTGGTATAAAATTACATTGCATAAGCTCAAAATCTTCTTGAAATATCGCCCGGAAATGATAGTGTTACACACAGACAGAATGTATAAATACGACCTTGAACTTTGACCTTTTGACCTCAAAATCAATAGGGGTCTTCATTAGGCCACAGGGAGTTGCTATGTAAAATTTCATTGCAACAGCTCAAATGATTCTAGAGATATCGTGTGGAAACGAAAGTGTTACAACAGACAGAATTTGCTTATTTATGACCTTGACCTTTTGACCTCAAAATCAATAGGGGTCTTCTTTAGTCCATAGGGAGTTGCTATGCTAAATTTCATTGCAAAAGCTCAAAGGGTTCTCGAGATATCGTGTGGAAACGAAAGCGTTACGGACAGACAGAAAGAAAGACGGACAAACCCAAATTAATATCCCCCACTTTTCAAGCGGGGGACAAAAATAAAACAAGCTAATTCAGAGAATTCGTGTCCCCCGCGTAGGGAAAAAGTCGGCTCCCCCTGACTGAATTTGTAGAATTATTAAATGTATACATGTATACTGAAGCAAATAAAATACATGTATGTCAATATGCATATAAAGATTTGATTGCTTATTCTTTATTATGTGTATAGAAGATTTTTTATATGGAATGTTTATCACACTGTAATGATGATTTTATAACCTCATAAATTTTTCATTTCACATGCTGAATACTATCATTTAGTAAAAAAAAAAGTATTTTTTAAAGAAAAAAAAAGAGAGGATCGACCGAGATTCGATCCAGGGACCTCTTACATTTGAAGCGAGAGACATAACCATTAGACCACGGAATCGCTTTATTTGTAAGGAAGTATATGCAGAACTGAAGTCACATACATGTATATATTCATGTTTTCATGTTCGGTATTCTCAAAATTTTACACAATCCATGGTGTTTGATTTATTTCGCCTTTATTAAACAGTTCTAATAGATGTAATAAGAACATAAAGTCCGCCGAGAACCTGTTTTATACGCAATAACTCTCCTCATGCCCCTGCGCTAAAAATAGCGACATGTAATACTATAAATACTAATAAAACAAACGGGGCGGGGCACTTTGAGAGGGGCAAGAGACGTCCTAGGGAGTTTTGGTATAAAATTACATTGCATAAGCTCAAAATCTTCTTGAAATATCGGCCGGAAATGATAGTATTACACACAGACAGAATGTATAAATTTACGACCTTGAACTTTGACCTTTTGACCTCAAAATCAATAGGGGTCTTCATTAGGCCACAGGGAGTTGTTATATAAAATTTCATTGCAATAGCTCAAATGGTTCTAGAGATATCGTGTGGAAACGAAAGTGTTTTAACAGACAGAATTTGCTTATTTATGACCTTGACCTTTGACCTTTTGACCTCAAAATAAATAGGGGTCTTCTTTAGTCCATAGGGAGTTGCTATGATAAATTTCATTGCAAAAGCTCAAAGGGTTCTCGAGATATCGTGTGGAAACGAAAGCGTTACAGACAGACAGAAAGACGGACGGACGGACGGACGGACGGACGGACGGACGGACGGACAAACCCAAATTAATATCCCCCACTTTTCAAGCGGGGGACAACAAGTAGCTACAAAGACAGAAACCCCTTCGTGAGCCCCTATGAATCAATCGCTAATTTAAGAGTTATCTCTCTTATTTTCAGTAATCTAGGCCTAATTTTCAAGCATCCTTTGAGTGCATCCATCAACGCTGTACCTTATGGCTTATGCATTTTTAATACGTGTCCAATAAAAATATACTTGTACAAGTATTTATCAGATAAAACAAAGTGCAAGGCCTCATTCTTTTAGCATTACATTCTCCTGTAACCGAAAACCTTAGATGAAAAGTACTTAGGCCTCGTCTGCTTTTACACAATTTCTTCAAATTTATCCTGAATTTGTTCTTAAACATTGCTAGACAGATGATATAAATTATTTCTGAGTGTGCTTTGTCTTGTTAACCTCAAATTGTTCCATGGTTAGGCTGTTAAAAACTTCGTTCGTAAGTTTACAGCAGCAGTTGCATCATCGCATCTGTTTACATGTTGCCATGTATGAGATAGGCCTACATGTGAAACGGTCCCGGTATTATATTCTGAAAACACTCGATAAAGAAAAATATAAATAAAGAAATAAAGTACATTCGATTTAATAATGGACATTTATATCTAGCTTTATTGGTTTAATTCCCCTATGAAACGTTTAATTTCTAAAAAAGAAAGAAAGAAAATGCACGTTGTTGTGCTAAACTGCGGTGGAAACTATATGTGAATTTATAGTCACAACTTTGTGACGTTATTTCTCTGTTCTCTAAAAATTTTCATAACCACCCTTTTCTCATGGGCGCAATCATATTATTGAATGGGTTCGACACGCTAAAATGTTTGAAGACTTGTTTTTCATGACTTTAGTAATTAAGCATTTAGGCGACCAAAATAACAAATGTCCACCTGGACAAGAACCATTATATGGTACTTTTTTCAAATTGTGGATTTGACCATTTATGAAACCTTCATCATGTTCCGCCCAATGTTTCTCTTGGAGGATTTTTTTCTCCTTTCCAATGAAATCGTTTTGGTCAGCGTCATTACAGGACATATCGGAAGAATTCTTTCGTCCCGAGCTTCATTGCCTTAAGTCGATCAATTTTCTTTCGTTCATTGCCGTTTCCTGGAGATGTTTAATCTCTTTAATGTATAAACGAAGACTTCTATTATTTTGAGTTATCTCTCTTTTTCCGCTGACCAAATCAAGTAGGCAGCAAATGGAAAATTTACCGATAGAAAAGCAAAAGAAGTAAATTTTAATACGCCAGGTTGTCATGAGATGAATTCTAGTGTCTGTTTATTGTTAGTGAAGCATTTTATATGGTAGCAGAAAGCGAACACCATGACAAAATTCATAATATTTTTGTCCCTTGTTGTTTGTGTAAAAATATATCCAACTTTGACGAAGTTGTGATAGATTTTTAAGTCGTTTAAGGCAACCATACGTTTAACAATTCAATATCTGTACCTAAAACAGCTGATGGCCCTCCCGTTCTTGCTGCACCAGGACATTGGGGCAGCTTTCCAGACGCTCACTGGCCGGGCCAGCACGGAGGAGCTGCAGAGTCGTGTGGCAAACATGGAGAGACAGTGGATGAGGAATCCTCTCCTCCCACCATCTGCCTGGTCCTTGTACCGAATGCAAGTCCGCACTAACAATAATGTTGAAGGTACTATGAAAAAATGTTAAACATTTCATTGCTTTAAATTATTTTCATCATAACAAGCTAAATGTACAGAAGTATCCATTAGATTGTATTATTTTTTTTCATTCACTAATTTCATTTGAATTTTCAGGCTGGTACCATCGGATCAATGGGAAGGCCGGACACCGAGGATGTAGGTTGTATGACCTATGCCCTGTCCTTCTTCAAGAGGCACGTCTTGTAGAGGCCAAGATCCACAGCGACAACCTGTGCAGGAAAATCATGCAGTCCACCACGACTGTCCAAAAGAACTTGACGAAGGCATAGGACAAGTACGACGTCAGAGACGTTAAGTCAGTGCCGGACACTCCCTCTGCATGTGCGGTTCGGTGTATGCCAACGTTTCAAAGGGCTGAAATTGAAGACAATGGGACATGTGAAATAAATTTCAGGGTGTGAAGCGAAATTTTACAATGTGAAGTGATCTTCACAAAATGCAAGATTTCACCGTCAATCACATCCATATTCCATTCTATGCAAACATATTGTACCACAGGCACTTGTATCGGAAATGTTAACCATAATAAATCAAGAAATCTGTGAGCCAATGCTCACAAGTAATACCCCCGCTCTGACTTAAATAAGCAATATCATGTTAATATACACAAGTTCAATTACAGGCAGATGCACAGAAAAATATGAAGTTGACATCAGATTCATATCAAAATTAATCCCACCATATGGCATGCCTCAACACAGAGTGTAATAAAATTTCAAGCATCTGCTATGAATAAGACGAGTAGTTGCTGAGAAAACTGCGACAAAATTTTGTTATGTACGAAACGGACAGACGCGCAGACAAACAGGAAGTTGACATCGGATCTAAACAAAAATGTATCCTACCATATGACATGCCTCAGAAAAGATTATGTTAAAATTTCAAGCATCTGCGATTAGTAGTTGCTGAGAAAACTGCGACGAAAATTTGTTTCGGAAGGACACACAGACACACGGACAGAAAGACAGACAGACACTCAAGGGTGAAACAGTAAACCCCCTCTCCTTCGGAACGGGGGTTTAATAACACAAGGTATCTCACTCCGAATTAAACTCAGTACCCCCTCCTCAGAAACGCACTCGTTTACACTTTCAGAGTAAATGCACTGGCAAACTGTTTATTACAGTTGTCTTCGACGATAATTTATCTACACAACCATATAAGGCATCGTTTTCGTTTATCTCCGTAAACAGTGTCAAAACTTGACTCGCCGAATGGAAAAGTCGAACTAAACCATGAAACGGTATGTATTAATGATAATCTCGGGCAAAGAAAATTTAAAAATTAGTGGATTAAAAAATTCAATTCTAGATTTTAAACATTGCATTGAATAAATAAATATTGATTATGTCTCATTTTCCATTAAAATACTACAATCTCTGTGCGGGATAAGCACATATCGTTTCATGGTTGAGTTGGGTATCTCTCCGGCCAGGTCTAAGCGAAATTCTTTTAATTAGAACTGACAATGAGAGAGCCATTTTTAACGGTGTGAAAAAATTTCTTCCCTCAAAGTCTGAACATTCAGTGCTTTAAAGGCATACGCGAAATAACATTTCCAGAAAACTTCAAGGACTGGTTTTTTTTCGAATCCGCCATAGGCGAGTACATAAGGTATATATTTGGTGTATTTGATGAAACGCGATTACGAGGTAGAATACGGATTGGTTGATGCCACTTCTGAATCCGAGGTTTCTACAGAGTTAAACAAGAGTTGTTTGTGAAACACTGATGCCCCCGTATTGCAGCATAGCGAAGATTACATTTTCTCAAACGCAAATCAATCATGTTGATACCCAAGTAAGGCCTTCTCACAAGAAATATAAATGATAAATATAAAAGTCCTAGCACCGCCTGTTCAAAAGTTTTGGTCAAGGTTAACGTTTTCAAAGGTAGGCAAAACTCCGGGTCAAGGTCAAAGGGTCAACGTTGTTGATTTTGAAAGAAAGGCATTGTCTCTAAGATTACGTAAATGTGAAGTATGAAAACCCTAGCCCTAACCGTTAAAAAGTAATTGCCAAGATTGAAGATTTTAAAGGTATTATCATTTTACAAACAGCATGACAGTTTGCTTGATGGGGCGTGCTAAAATTTTGAGTGCTGGATATCATTTTGCTCATCGATTGGATCAATGAAATCAATACTAATTTGCATATGAAACTCGGAATACAACAATAGCCTGATAATACTGACCAATCACATTGAATGATTGTTTACCAGTACAGCATTTGTAGTCAGCAGCAACACGTGGTCAGTCAAAGCCCGTTTTCTGTCCTCAAAAAAGCATGTATATTATATTTGTTGTGATTTGACCGAATGGGTTTTTAAATACGTATGAGAAAATTTAAAGAATGGAACTAGTAAGGCTATTCTGCTTATGTTGTACTATATATGTACGTTGCTCTATCAATATCATCATTATAGGAAGTAAAACTTGCTTTGTCTGTTCACGTGTTGATGTTTATTCAATGCGATTGGTCAGTATTGTCAGTGGTATTGCTGTGTTCTGTGCTTCATATGCAAATTATTATTGATTCCATTGAAATCAAACATCCAATCGATGAGTAAAAATGACAATCAGGCATACGAAATTTTAGCACGCCCTATCAAGCAAACTGTCACGCTGTTAGTAAAACGATAATAGCTCTGTCTCCAAGGTTATGGTAAAAAGGTCTAAGTTGTTGTTATTCAACGAAGGTCTTGTCACAAAAATAGATATGTAAAGTATGAAAGTCCTAACACCAACCATTCAAAAGTTATTGCCAAGGTTAAAGTTTTTAAAAAGTAGGTCAAACTCCAAGGTCAAGGTTGTTGGTATCCAATAGAAGGTCTTGCCAGAAAGAAAACCAATTTGAACAATGAAGGTCCTGGCACCAACCGTTCATATGTTATGGCCAAGATAAAAGGTTGGAATTTCGGTGTAAATAAGTGTCAAACTCCAAGGTCAAGTTCAAGAGATCAAACTTGGTGGTACCCAAAGAAAGGTCTTGACACAATAAATACACCTGTGAAATATGAAAGCCATTGCCCCACCGAGTCAAAAGTTTAATGGGCAAGATTCAAGTTTTCAAGACGGACAGGACAAAAAATATATACCCCCGAAATTCCTTTACTGGGGCATAAAAATATGAAATAATCTGGTATGAAATGTATCGAAGACAGAAAAACAAACAACGTCTACAAAAACGAAGATCGCGCTACAATCCACTAGACGGCATAGAGAGCGCATCTGGACACAGACTACCAATTATTCTGCTATACATTCCTTTATAATGTATATATTAATTTTAAAAATCAGATCGGCTAAACTTACCTGAAACTTGGCACAGAGTAAGAAGAATTCAAGTCCAATAATTTGTCAGGCTCTCAGGAAAAATCATCGCATGCAGGTCCTGCTATGGCATCAATAAACAAGAGGCCCAGGGGGCCACATCGCTCACCTAAGCAATTGGCTAGGAAAAAGCACATATCAGTTCAAACATGAATCAGATCAAACATGGGTCATGATTTGAACAAACTTGAATCTACACTACCTGGGGATGATTCCACAGGAGTTTCATCTTTCCTGTCTCAATGGTTCTTGAAAAGACTTTTCCTATATATTCCTATGTAAAACTTTGATTGGCCATTGAGGCCCCACCCTACCCCCTGGGGTCATGATTTGAACAAACTAGAATCTACACTACCCGAGGATGATTCCCTATAAATATCACTAAACATGGCTTTTAAGTACTTGAAAAGAAGATTTTAAAAGGTTTCCCTATATATTCCTATGTAAAACTTTGATCGGCCATTTTGGCCCCACCCTCCCCCCGGGGGTCATGATTTGAACAAATTTGAATCTACACTACCTGAGGATGATTCCACATGAGTTTCATCTTTCCTGGCCAAGTGGTTCTTGAGAAGAAGATTTATAAAGAATTTTCCTATATTTCCTATGTAAAACTTTGATCGGCCATTTTGGCCCCACCCTCCCCCCGGGGGTCATGATTTGAACAAACTTGAATCTACACTACCTGAGGATGAGTCCCTATAAATATCACTAAACATGGCTTTGAAGTACTTGAAAAGAAGATTTTAAAAGGTTTCCCTATATATTCCTATGTAAAACTTTGATCGGCCATTTTGGCCCCACCCTCCCCCCGGGGGTCATGATTTGAACAAATTTGAATCTACACTACCTGAGGATGATTCCACATGAGTTTCATCTTTCCTGGCCAAGTGGTTCTTGAGAAGAAGATTTTTAAAGATTTTTCCTATATACTCCTATGTAAAACTTTGGTTGGCCATTGTGGCCCCACCCTACCCCCGGGGGTCATGATTAGAAAAACTTGAATCTGCACTACCTGAGGATGCTTCCACATAAGTTTCATCTTTCCTGGCCCAGTTGTTCTTGAGAAGAAGATTTTTAAAGATTTTTCCTATATATTCCTATGTAAAACTTTGATCGGCCATTGTGGCCCCACCCTACCCCCGGGGGTCATGATTTGAACAAACTAGAATCTACACTACCTGAGGATGCTTCAACATGCGTTTCATCTTTCCTAGCCAAGTGGTTCTTGAGAAGAAGATTTCTTAAAAGTGACCTTAATTTTTCACTATTTCCTAATTATCTCCCCTTGGAAGAGGGCGTGGCCCTTCGTTTGAACAAACTTGAATCCCCTTTACCCAAGGATACTTTGTAGCAAGTTTGGTTGAAATTGGCCCAGTGGTTCTTGAGAAGAAGATGAAAATGTGAAAAGTTTACGACGCCGACGACGCCAACGACGACAGACGACGGACAAATTTTGATCAGAAAAGCTCACTTGAGCCTTCGGCTCAGGTGAGCTAAAAACCCTACCCTGCTTTCTTTCACTTTTTCTTCGGGGAAAGGGTAAATATGGGCCTCTTTACACCCTTGTTATTACGCGCTTAAGTGCAAACTTTCTGATTATTATCAATTTTATATATATATATATTTTTTTTCAAACCCTCTCCTTTCCATCATTGCCCAGAAATAACATCATTCCACCCCATAAACTCCCCAAAGAATTTTAAAGAAAAAAAAACTCCATTTTTAAACTGGTACTACTTGCTTGGTCAATGAAATAGGGGTAAAATTAGTAGTCTGTATGCATCTGACGATTTAGAAAACAATTTACGTTCTGAACCTTTTTAAAAGGAACAAAAATACGAGTATGCAATGGATGTTCAAAGGCAATCAGAGCACCCCCATTTGTACCTGCTCCCCCTATGATGTAGTAATATGCAGAAAGGAATACTAGTACCGCGCTTCAATGCAGTATGACATAACCAAATTTACTCTTACACCTCAAAAATGTCCAACATCATTTAAAGAAAGCATAGCTTGCATAGCTTACATTGAAGAATCCGGAATTTCACAAAGACGCTCTCATTATCTGTCCTCCTGATGTCGCTTTACAGCTACATGTACCAGACGTGCACAAGTTTTATCTTTGGTGTTTCAATCAATGTAAAGTACAACATAATTCGCCCCCCCCCCCTCACCCCCCTTTGAAAATTCATGTTTGGTGGGAGAAAA